CTCCACAACAAGTATTCTATAACTTTAGTTACTGGTTACGGTGCATATGAAGATTAATAATACAAAATATTATCAACAAATACATTATGAATTCACGAGCTACTCAGCAGATAAAGAAGTATAAAATTAGCCCCACATTTACCAGCTTCAGAATTAATATACATACATGCATAATATACATTAGTCTGCACAATAAGTTATTTTACTCAGTAGTTTAAGTTTTATTTTGAAGCCAATAGTATTGTACTTTTGTACAAATTTCAATGCATGCATTTTACTTTGACTAATTTCTACTTTTACCTAAATACAAGATCTAAGTACTTCCACCTCTGCTACAAACTAATATGTGATGTGGTATTAAAGAAGGCAGAACAATCTTTAAAAAACTAAAATTGTTTGATCTTTTGCTCCTTCTGAAAATGAATCCAGATGTTTGGTGATATGTTGTGAGGTCGACCTGCAGTGGATCCAAACAGCAGTGTTGAACTCATCTGACTGAGCCAGAGTTGATGAGAACTGATTTGTCTTTGTTGTGTTTTCAGACTCAAGATGTTGTGTTTCGGAAGACGCTGTACACCAACACCACCATATCCATGAAGTGTACGTAGTCTGACCTCTTCATCATGTGTTGTTTATGAAGCATTGCAGGATTTATATAAATAACTGCTATTTACAAAGAACATGTGTCTGGTAAGTGGAACATTTACTGTAACATTCAGGCCCTGACAGACAGTCACAGGAACGTAGCACCCGTCCTTTAGGTGTTTATTCTGGCACTTGTTGTCTTTTCAGTGGCAAACTCCACCCATCAGACTCCCAAATTAAAAAGCTAAAACAAACAGACTTTGTGTCCTCCGTGTCTCTTTACTTTTGAATTTTATGCAGTTCAAACTTCCTGTGGGGACGATTCTCTTTTTTCAATAAACCTCGCGCAAAATTTAAAAAACAGTAGCTCGATTATCACAAGAATTCAAGAATATTGGGTTGAAATGTCAGCTCTTATTCAAGCCCTACGGGGTCTTTTTATGGTTCTCAATGGCTAAATGCCAAACATTACATTACAGTCATTTAGTTATTTTACAATTTTTATTGGTTAGTTTCAGGAATCTTAACATTTTAAAGGTAAAAATTCACCCTAAACTCCGAAACACAATGTAGCTTTTATTTAGTGCTACAGCAGTCTTGCTAAACTGTACCAGGCATAACCTAGATTATGATATTGTCAGCATATTTGCAATGGAGTTTGGTAGAGAGAAGACACAATCTATAAGATTTGATAGTAAATGTCAGATTTTGTTATCTGCCCTTCAGAATAAAAGACAATTTCTTCTGGCTAGAGACGTCAGGTTGCATCAGCATCCACCAGACATAAAATGAGAAATCCTTCATACTGTAAAGGAGGAAGAGACGCTTATTTCTACTCCCACTTTAGACCAGGATGCAATGTTGCAACATAACTTAAGGAAATAGCAAAAGTCACCCTTTGAAATAGAACTAGATGACGGAGGTTTGGGGGGGAAAGTATGTACACAAATGAAAGTAGATGACAACACACTGAGTAAGTCCTGTAACAGCTGGGGTTATTAGTAAGGTCTCATTATTGTCTAATAATCCAGAGCTCCTCCCTTTGTTTTATCTCCCTGCAGTCCAGGGTGACGCAGCGTCATGTGATAAGAACCTGGCCTTCAACATCAGCTGGTACCTGCGCTCCTCTGTTTGTTACAATGAGGTCTTCAACACACCCGTGAGTAGTGACTTTTGGCTGTTGATGTCTGAATAAAAATGTGACATGTGTATACATGTCATGTGTATGTTGTAAAGGCTTTCCGTCCAGCTCAGAGATGTCGAGATACTCCAAAGACTTCACATATTTCCTTTTTGTTTGCCGTTCAGGTGCATCTGCTTCTTTGTCAGTTGAATCAGTTTGAAAACTTGTTTGCACACTCAGGTACTGTAGATAATATGGTAGATAGAAATTGGGCTTTGTGGATTTTGTGCAGGAAACGTTAATCTGCATCTTCAAGATTTTAAACTCTCTTCACTGTCAGGAAGTTCATTTCCTGGACTTTTCGCCAATTCAGTGGTTCTGGCTTTACATTCAGCATCAACAGTCTGTCAGTCAGAGCGGCTGCTGTGTTCTTGGCCTCGGGCTCCCCTTCCATCTCTGAGCCAGCGCTCGCTCTTTCTCCAGAAACGTCTCAAACTCAGCGGCTGCTTCTGGCTTTGATGAGCCTCATTGCTGTCGCCGTCTTTCTCGAAGCAGGGGGTCAAACAGCGAAGCTGCATCCAGGTCACCTGTCGCCTGACCACATTCATTCAGATGTGTGTTGGAAGTTCAGTGTCTTCTTCTGTGAGGCTCCAAAAAAGAAGACACATTTAATAATATTTTTAAAATTTGAATGGTAATACAGTAAAGTTAGTGAATTGTTAATCAACAAACTGACTACTTTTCCTCTACCGGACCCAAATATCTAATTTAAACTCATTTGTCATCACTCAAACATCTGCACATTACCTTCCAGCTGTCATCAATAGTGCACTGACGAGCTAATGTGCTGATCAGACGTGAAGCTTATACACAAGTCCGCCTTTGTCCGCCCACACGTTTTACACATATCAAGCCTTGTCATGTGTAATGTTGCCACATCTAAAGAGAATGAAGTGGCTGCTCAGTGTAACCGATGTTCCACCTCTCTATCCTTCTGCAGGACAACAAAGCCATGAACATGTTTGGTATGGACCACATGTTGAAAGACGGCTGGAATGGCTTCTACACTCAGGGCTACATGTACTTCGACAACTGCTCCTATCTCTTCTTACCCAAGGTTTGTGACCGAGACAACAGTGTTGTCTCACTACCAATGGCACATTAACACAAAGGGTCGCACCGGTAATCATCGCTATGTAAATACAGTGTGTACATTCATTTGTCTTTATCCTCTCACTTAGGTGTATTATGCAGACTTCAACCCATATCAGCCCCTCACTAGCCCGAAGGTGAGTCACTGATCCAGCTGATGTAAAAGGGATTGACCGTGCTGAGCATAATATCTCAAAAATGTATTTGTGTGACTTTAACTCTGGCAAACTCTATGAAGCATTGCTCACTGTGTTCTTTGTTCTGTGTTCAGAGTGACCCTTCCAATCAGAGCCTTATTTGGCCGTACAAGCCGGTAAGACATGTTGTTAATACTTTTTATGCAAAGGTCTTTAAATATATATCATGGTGGGATTTTTTTATTTTTTTTTGTATTCTCTCTCAATACTCTTGTGACGGTAGGCTCCTCGTGGCTGTGATCACAGCTATCTTTGCTGGCTGTGGGTTGAGCTTTGGTGGCTCCGGCATCAACGTGGTTATTACGAAGGATATTAAATATGTTAGCTGCACTGTGACTACTAAAGTAATAGAAGCATTTGAAGGAACCCGGTGTGCGTCTATCGGACATAACGGATCTCATATCTTTCAGGGGCTTCGTGCTACGATGTCAAACCAAACGACCAGATATTGAGCTCGGTGTGTGTGAACATAAAGATTATAAATAAAGGAAGTACCATAACCGCTGTGATTCTCTGCAGGATATCAGCGCAGTGGCCAAAGCTTGGGAGGACAGTCCATACATGTTCATTGTGAAGGTACAGCCTTTGTTCCACGGGGTTGATGATGAAGACATCGGGGCCGAGCAGCTCGGCTTTGCTTTCACAAGTAAGAGACGCCGTTTCACTCCGGAACCTTTAGAAGCTCTCACAGTTATTCAGGAGATAGATTAGTGAGGACAAAAGGGAATATAAATCTGACAATTGAGAATTTAAAAAGTGAATTTTTATTTTCCCAGTGAAAGTTGAGATGAAGGGACCACATGACTACTCTTCTCCAGCAGACTGGCCCCTGATGATGGTATGTACACTACAATATGTAAAGGGAGGGGTTTTTAGATTCAGAAAATGTCTTGGAACACAATTGACATGGTTATTACTAAATCAGGGACAGAAATTGTATTAATAACTGACATTACAGTCTGGGGAAAACAGACGTAATAATAGTTTTGGAATTGAAACAGATTGAACATTCAACAAATCTCAAGACAACATCCAACTCTTTTGTAAGCTTTCAATCACATCTTGTGGCCTTCCTCAGTGGAAGTGCTCAGTGTAAATGTTTACTATCTATCTATATTGATTTCATCCTGATTGTAAATAAATAAGCCTGAATTGGACCATATTGTTATTGGTGACATCATACCCCGACCTCGGTATGCAGCTTTAACTGTGATTTCAAACCAGACTTTTCTCTCCCTCCCGCCCGTCGCAGTTCTTCATGGTCATGTGCATCGTGTACGTGCTGTTCGGGGCTCTCTGGCTCTTCTGGTGTGCCTGCTACTGGAGGGATCTGCTGCGGATCCAGTTCTGGATCGGTGCCGTCATCATCCTCGGCATGCTGGAAAAAGCTGTGTTTTACTCCGAATATCAGAGCATCCGTTACAAAGGAGACTACGGTCGGTGTATTTCATTTCACATCTGCTTGTTTGTGCAGTCATGTTGTTTTCTGTTTACTTCAGTCGGATATATAATCATCATTTTGTTTACGTGTTTTTATCTCTTCACAGTTCAAGGTGCTGTGATTTTTGCTGAGCTGCTTTCTGCTCTTAAAAGATCTCTGGCCCGAATCCTGGTCCTCATTGTCAGTCTTGGCTATGGCATAGTCAAGTAAGTTCAGACTTTTATTATTTGACTACTGATAGTTCTCATTATTCTTTACCAAATAAAACCCAGTAGGGGACTTGCTGCTTATATTCTCGTTTCAATCATTTGTTTGTGTACTTGAACGCTCACTTCTTTAGGCCCAGGTTAGGTACCACAGTTCACCGGCTGGCAGCTGTTGGGCTTCTCTACCTGCTCTTCTCCTCTGTGGAAGGTGTGCTAAGAGTGACAGGCGTAAGTATCATTAATTAATAAACTCCAGCTAATAAACAGCTGTCATTCTCAATATTTCCTTTAGCATACTCGGAGAATCAGATGCGATGTAGGACGCAGAGACAGTTTCAGATAATTCATACAAATACATAAAAGGTAACTATCCTCTAACCGTCTAAATTGTCCCGGTTGTAACTCCTCATGTTTTGTCAGCGCGAACATCTATGACAAATATATTGCATCTTTTTTTTGGGCTGCATCACAATAAAAGTGTTTAGCATTGTAATGCTTTTATTGTGAAGCAGCAACAGCAGGAAATGTAGCTAACGAGTGAAAATAATTAAAAACGGTAAATGTCGGATTTACATGCTGCATCATTTCCTGTGTGTGTGTGTGTGTGTGTGTGTGTAATAATTATAATTATTCATAATCAGTATCAAACAGCGAGGTTTAGTTTCATGATTACGACTTAAAGGCAGCACAGTTGCATCGTGTCTGCTTTAAATGGCAGCACAGGAAACACTAATCTATATCAACCAAACCACCCAGCGAAGATTTACTATTTCCTCTGGATGAGAGAGGAAAGAGATTCAACACTTAGTGTCGCTTTCCTTGGGCAGCGCTCTCTCGCTGCTGTTTAGGAGACCATTTCTATTCCACTTCTAACTCTTAATTCATGATCTTCTGTGGCTGCGCATGACTTTCATCCAGGAGAATATAATGAGCCCACTGCATTTCAACTACTGCAGATGTGAAATTAGCTGTTACAGCCTCCACAGATTCATTGAAGCTGATAGCGGAGGTGTATTTTTACATAAAAATCTTGCCTGGCGCAGCTTTCAAGGCACTCAGTATAAATACAGTGGATTTGAGTGGAGAGAGAGAAGGTTATGCAGGGATGCAGTCTCTGGGAGGCAGACAAGTGATGGTAATAGGGAATGACCTAATTGATGGAGAGTGGTATTCAAAAGCAGCCAAAGACACTGCAGCAAGTTCAAAAAGATATGGAAACACAGTTGTATACAAGCACACATGAGATAAGAAAGACGGTAAGAACAAAGGAACGAGGCTGTGCAGTTCGGTGAGTGTTTAACGAGGCAGCTTCAAAGAGAGGAGACGTACATCTTCACCACATCTTATGTGACTTCACGCTCTGGGCTCGTGTTGCGTCTCGGTTGTAGAATCTGACTCTCGTCTTGTTGTTCCAGGGTTTCTATGGGACGGTCGCCCTGGTGGCTAATCTCAGCCTCTCCCTTATTGACTCCTGCGTCATGTGGTGGATATCCTTTAACCCCAACCAGCAGAACACCAAACCACTCAGAGCAAGTCCAGGATTTGCATATTCAGAAGTGCGGCAGATATAAGCTTTTGATTGTGGTTACTTGAATGTATATCCAGTGTGTTCTCCTTAACTTGCATCCACATTTTCATCAGTCTGTCTCAAACCACTCGTCTCCTGAAGCTCCGCAGGAATATAGTGAAACTTTCTTTGTATCAGCACTTCACCAACACCCTCATCTTCTCCGTTGTCGGTGAGTAGCAACGGCTCTAGTAGAGCTGTGCCTTCATTCAGAAACGGCTGCTTCATTACGGGTTAGTTTGTTGTTTACAGTACTTCTGCATATGTGAAACAGTTGTGTAAGGTAGTTAACTATTCCTTTAACACGCACAGTTTGTCCTGTACTGTGCGGACTGTGTAAGTATCTGCTAAGTTACAGACGTCTCTTTCCAAATGTACGTTTATGGGGAAAGTCTTTTTGGGGCTCATAGTATCACAGGACGAACCCGGAGGTTGTAATTCCACTGTTTGGCCATTATGAACATTTTGCTTCAAAGCTCAGTGCTCTTGCCGGGGGCTTGATTGACACGTTTCCTGTGCTGTTTTCCATCATTTGCATATTGTTTACGGACATCAAAACAAGACCGGTGTTTACTTTGTGTCCACAGCTTCCATCATATTCATCATCTGGACCACCAAAGTCTTCAAGCTGGTAGACTGCCAGACGGTCAGTTTGTTTTCTGCTCTGTTATTGATTGATTCTAGTATTGCGTGTCCTGTCCTGTTCCCACCATGAGGTTTCTGTTTCTTGTTTATGCCTTCCAACCTGACAACATCATCACTCTTTTCTATTTGTATCCCTTCCACAGGGTTGGAGGGACTTGTGGGTAGACGATGCCTTCTGGCGTCTCCTGTTCTCCACCATTCTGCTGGTCATCATGGTGCTGCTGCGGCCCTCTGCTAACAACCAGAGGTCAGAGTCCAGCTGGAGCACATCCTGGAGCCCAAAAACCAAGTTGACAGTGTTTAATTTTTTTTGGGGGGGGTTCTGTTTTTCTCTCAGGTTCTCCCATTCTCCTCTGATTGATGAAGATGATGACGAGGAAGAGGCCAAGGAGCCAATGCTGAGTGACGCTTTTGGTAAGACTTTCATTGCCAGACCAGCCAAGGGTTATCTAACAGTCGCTTATCATTGCGTACGCCTTGAGTGAGACAGTGTTTACAGTACCAATAGACGGGGTGGGCTGTTCCGTCTGTACAGTTCAGATGCAGAGAAATATATTGACTTTAGACCAACGAAGGCAGCGAGTCTTAGCCAATCAGGCAGAGTAGGGCGGGTCATGCTTTCACCATAGCCGGATCTGTGATTTAGCGACAAAGGACATCCTGTTTCTTTTGCTATTTTTGACTGAAGAGTCTCTGATAATTATGATTGATGTAGTAATTGTTTAATGTCATCTATTGTCAATGTCAACCAACACTGCCCAGTCAGCTAACCAGTACTGTCTTCTTGTAAACGTATCTAATGTGCACGCTGAGTTCAATTTAATTTGTATAGACCAAAATCACAAGAAAGCACAAAGACTCTGGGGAAGAAGCATAGTTAGTAATGTGCCTTAATGGGACCAGTATCCCATAAAATATCCAGTAGAAGCTAACATTACTAGAGCTAGTTATTGTATGCTAATATAGTTTAGAGCTGCCTGAAGACAAAAGCCAGGTTTTATTTAGTGTGACTGGTTTATTGTAGATCCCGGGGCCTTAAGGGCTGCAGGGATGTTTGTCACATTAAGTCACTAAATATGGAAACTCTTAAGTGAACATATTTAGTGTTCCTCCATATTTAACCACTGGGGCTTTGTTTTGTAGTACCTGGTTCTACTGAGGCCATGATCTGAATCATTCCGATATGTGGATTGAGAAATGTTATATAGTATGAATGGGAATTTGAATAACCTTGTTATATTATGGTCTTATTATTGGACATTGGACTTCTATCATTTTCTTTTATTTCTTAAAGAGGGAATGAAGATGAGAGGATCAAAGCCGGACTCTAATGGCTCCCAGAAACTGTTGAGTAAAGAGGTGAGTTCACTGTCTTCTGTCAACATCTCTCTTCTTTTAGCCGTTTATTCCCCCCCCCCCACCACACACATAACTTAATCATTTGTTATTTCTAAACTCTGCTTTGCCAGGATGAAGACTTAAAATGGGTTGAGGAGAACATTCCTACAACTGTTGCTGATGTGTAAGTAAAGTCAACTAAAACTTTCACATTTGCTTAAAAACAAATATTGCGTTACCTGGAATTTGTGAGAATAAGGTATCGTCTTAAAACAATAATTCTTCTTACTTTGACATTGTTTCAGCTTATGTCAGCGTATTAAAGTAGCTTACAGTACCGGATCAAGATATACTGTTAATACTCACATTGCAACAAACAAGCTTTATAGATTATCTTCTAATACAATTTGACTCTATGAATGCATTCACTGCCTCCTTCTCTGTGTTTTCTCCTCTCTATACAGAGCTCTCCCTGCAATGTTAGATGAAGAAGAGGTAAAGGGTCCTTTTACTTTCCCCCTGCTAGCCCCATGATTTCCAATCACATTTGTGTGTGTTTAAAATCATCCCACAGTCACATTACTGGACATGTAATAATCTGTGATCTCTCTTTTTCCAGGAAATCCTGAAAACCAAGTTGGAGAGATCTAAAATGGAGTAGAAGTGAATGCAGATGATGTGAGACTGAAAAGAAAGCAAATTTCACTGAGGCAGCAATGAATGCGTTCTGAGTGATTACCAAAAAAAAAAGAAAAATGTGGGCAAACCCAACTGTTCTCTCCAGATATTTTACATTTGAATCTTTATTTCACACGTGTTGTGTAACACTGTAATGAGCTCAAAGAAGCTTGAATAGTGTGTTTATATTAAAGCAAATCTGTGCAACCCGTAGTTGGATGGGTCGGCTTGGAGGAGGGTGACTAATGCAATAACGCAGCAGAACACTTGTTTCAAAGATTTTTCTTTAATTTCACAAACTTGGCCAAAATCAAGTAGAAACTAGGCAATTTTACACAATGCCCTTGTGGAAAATAGAATATTTGTCAAAATCATGTCTTATTGTTTCAGACGTTCCCCACACGCTTTAAATTCCAGAAACCTGATGGGTCAAATTTGTGGGACTGTGAGAACTGATTCTAAATCTGTTTCGAGATGAGATTCGAATCTTTGTACGAATGGAAACACGGGCTGAAAACCCCAAGTTATTGTGCGTAATAAGATTATATTTAAACCAACAGCTTCGGACACTTGGACTCAAAGTTATCTTCAGCGACGTGCTGTGCCATACACTGTAAATGTAGAAAAACAATGCTGTTGTCAACAGGTGTTTTATTGCGTCACATATCTAATGGGTCACATGATGACATGCATCTAATATGCGACTGTATGGTATGATTAACCATTTAGCCAGATAACTAAAAACAATGCTTTTACTTAGTCAGTGAAGATTTCCTGAGCTCATTTCTTATAGCTGCACCAACAAATGATACATGTCTTATTGTTAACGCACGACTAACACGTTGTTGTCTGGCTAACTGAGTAATCCTCAGTAACTTACCGTTACTCTATGGAAATACGGCTGCATCGGTGGATATCGATACTTGAAGCGTATCACAGTTGTCAGGGTAAAAACACACTACATTTGTGTTTTGGGGGAGTCTTGAGTTCACAAGAACGCACTGTTTTCTGGGCTGGGAGAATGTAACTTCATACTATCGTAAACACAGCGTCGTCAGAAGAGTTGCACCAGATTACTTCTCTGAGATGTCATCTTCACACAGATCAGTTCAAGCTACTGAAAATATGACTCTAATATTGGTGATTTTCAAGCTTTTACTGACAAATGAAAGACTGCTCAGTCCTCAGCGAGTGAGGGAAAATGTATGACCCGTATTAAAAAAAGTATTCCAGACCCGTTTTCACACAGTCACGAGTCTAGAATTAAGAATATTTATTATGACATATTTAGCTTCTCACATAACCGCAGTGTTTTAGGTCCACTTCATTTTTAGCTACTGAATTACATAATCTATTGATAAGCTTCACAGATGTGGTATGGGCTTAAATTCAAATACACATTTCATTGACTGAATGTATGTAATTCTTTCTCAGTAGCACAGGGTACATGCTTAAAGTTATCATTTCCATTTCACTGCAATTACAGATTCCTTTGAGCTTATCCCATTCACACTAAAAGTAATCTTGCTTTATGTGGCAGGATTAAATCCCCGTCCGTGTGCAACCTACTGCAGTATGTGTGGATATTCTAAATGTATTAGTTTTTTTTTTTGTTTTTTAATAAGTGTTGTTGAGGATACCTTATTTTTAAGAGACTAAAGCCCTATTTCTGGATGTGAGTCTGCAATGTAATGTGAAGCTGATGATATTGTATGGCTTTTTGCGTATGTCCTGCAAATAAAATTTATATTGAAACATGGTTACAGCGTCAGTTTTTGTGTGGGCATTTAACACAAATAAATTTAAGGTGTAGATGCCTATTTGTAAGCATAATGTACTGTTTGAGGTTTAGAATGCTCTTTAATGCAATTTGTGTTACCTTTTCTGTACTGTACTGTAATTATTTCCCCCAAAAAACATCTATTCTTATTTTTAACAGGTAAACAACTGTTTTTTAAGGTGCCACGAATAACATATCGCGAGAATAGCACAGCACTATTTAGCCATGAGCACAAATGTGGTCACTGCACCTTTGATGCGGTCCTCGTGAGTTCACTGACGTCTGTCACGTGCCTGTCAAACACCATACCCTCGCGCAGCCGTCGTCAACACAACCCGCAAGACAACTGAGGAAGTAGCGACAAGAAGCTAACAAAAACTAACCGCTACGGCTAATACTATTTGAATTAAGTTAATTGAAGGTTGTGTTTTGTCTTTATCGACACAGGAACGGACTGTCTTTGTTGGGGTTTCAGTTGGCGTAGAGTTAAGAGGGAACAATGTAGCCGTTGCTCGCTAACTTCTAAGCTAGCAGGCTAACAATCAGCTGTTGTTTTGGTCTGGAGAGCTAACTAGCTGGCTAACAAGCCGAGCTACATAGCACTCACAGAAGTCCAAACCAAGATTTCCTTCATTCCCCCGTGGAAACATTTAAAACTGCTCAGTCGGTTAATGGCGGCACATAAAGGCGGACCACCCCTAACAGACTAATCAGCGGCCGTCAACAACTCCCTGTGGAATCGAGTCATCAGAGCGGTCTGTAATTGGAGTCAAAAGTATTGCTTCAAGATGCACGACGCGTATGAGCCGGTGCCTATTTTGGAGAAGCTTCCTCTTCAGATCGACTGTCTTGCGGCCTGGGGTAAATTGTTGACACTTTGATGTATCTTATCCCACAGCTACTCGTTTTGTTCTGTGGTATTAAAAGTGGTTCTTCTGGGCTTTTATTGAAATACAGTCTCAGGTGAAGTGATAAATGACGGCATCCTTCTCAACTGTCAGACCCTGACTCTTTTACGTTTCCTTCCCACAGAGGACTGGCTGCTCGTGGGAACAAAGCCAGGGCATCTTCTTCTCTACAGAATAAAGAAGGATGCAGGTAGGATGAGCCGAGGAGATGTGTGGTGCATCTGATCCCTTGTGTATTTGTAGACCTAATGCTTCCTGCTTCCTCTTTTCTCTTTAGGCACCAACCGGTTCGAGGTGACACTGGAAAAATCCAATAAGAACTTCTCAAAGAAGATTCAGCAGGTAGATAAGGCTGTAAGATGCATTTGAAGTCTGGTGAGCGAGTCACAACTCAAATATGTTCAGATTTCTAGGACTACTTTACACTAAATTCAGCTCTTAATGGCCAACTTCCTTTCTTGGAATGATTCAGCTAATCCCACATGCTTTAAGACCCATCCATATGCCACCGTAGGCTACCAAAGATGATTGATGGCTCAGAACAACCTTCAAATTGAATCAGTGTAGTTAAGACTAGTCATTTTTACAGATAGTGGCAAAAACCACAGGAACAGTGGGTGAAACAAAGAAGCTCTAGTGTGTTCTCAGCCTGTCATTTGGTTCAAACCTCCTTTTAATTGGGTGTCTTTCTCTTTCTACAGCTCTACGTTGTCTCGCAGTACAAAATTCTTGTCAGTCTTCTAGGTACGTTTTCTCTCCCTAATAAATGTATATATTTCCTGATTAGTCTTCACCTGTTAATTGATAAAACTGTAATCTTTTTGCGTTAAAGCAGAGCGTTCATCGTCATTCTCTTAATCTCTTTTCTCCTCCAGAGAACAACATCCACGTCCATGATCTCCTGACCTTCCAGCAGATTACGGTGGTGTCCAAAGCCAAAGGTGCCACGCTCTTCACCTGTGACCTGCAGGTCAGTTACTGTCCTTTTACACTTGCAGCTTTTAGACACATTGCCTGCTGTATTGTTACTGTACAGCACTGCTATCATATTCATGCAATATGTAAAGTACTACAAACATACAATTATAGATTAGTGGACTGTTTAAGAGCCAACAGGCAGCTTTGACTGAGCTGGTTTATTCAGATTTATCAGGTGGTTTTGAGTGGATCATAACTGGTGTTTCTTGACCAATTGACTACAAGGCAGTATGTTTTTAAAATGTTCCACACTAATATAACAGTAATACTAATATAACATTAACAGTTAATTGGCTGAAACATACATAAAACAGGTATCATTTCCATACAATCTTATGTCTGAGACATTTTTTTTTCTTTTGTTTCCACATGTCTGTGTTATCCTCATATTTTGAACTCATGAATTGTATATTTTTTCAGCAAACTAGCACAGGAGAGGAAAGGTTGAGAATGTGTGTTGCGGTGAAAAAGAAACTCCAGCTGTATTACTGGAAGGACAGAGAGTTCCACGAGCTGCAGGTAAAATGAAATAAACTTGAGATGTGACCCACAACAGGACAGGGTTTTTTTGTTTTTTTTTTCAGTCCTTTGATGCATTTAATCATCCTAATGTTTTCTTTTCGTCTGTCAGGCAGACTTTGGTGCACCAGACATTCCAAAGTCCATGGCTTGGTGTGAAAACTCCATATGTGTTGGTTTCAAGCGAGACTATTACCTCATTCGGGTATGTGCCACAGGAATGGATAACAATAAGCTTTTTATATTCAGCTTTACCTCTAGCTACCTACAACTTAAAGTTATGCTCTGCCAGAAGTCTGTAAAAGGTTTGTAGTGTGTTCCTTAACGGTGAGAGATGTTTTAAAGTATCAAAACATCAACAGACCACATAAAACCACATAAAACACTCCTGCAGCATAATTCATTCTTTACATCTGAAGGCTTAGTTTGTTCTAAACTATCCCAAATAGTGCAAAAAAATCACAGCACAAGTCTTCTTCTGCAGTTCATAAATCAGTGGATCTGTTGTGATCCAGCCTTTATTCTCTGTGAAGGGGAAAACTACAAATATTTAGCATGTAACTTAGGGGGTGTTTCATGGACATGTTTTGGAAAGTTCAGAAGTAGTCTATTATTTAATGAGTTCCTGTCTGTTATGTTAATCTTGAATTTGCATGTTTATTTGAGGCTTCAGCCTTAGTATTCATTTTTCGTATCTTTTTTGAGTTGTTTGTCTGAAGCACTGTTCACTTGACCGTACAGACAAAGTTTGTAACATGTTATTGATGGGCTCTTCTGAACCTCTGCTGTCGATCAGATGGATGGCCGGGGCTCCATCAAGGAGCTCTTCCCCACCGGGAAACAGTTGGAGCCTCTGGTTACCCCACTGGCTGATGGGAAGGTGGCGGTTGGCCAGGATGACCTAACCGTAGTGCTGAATGAAGAGGGCGTTTGCACCCAGAAGTGTGCCCTGAACTGGACCGACATCCCAATAGCAATGGGTAAGAGAGATGCACACCAGCTGATACTGTGAGACATTTCATATTCTACACTGAGTTATGTTTACATGCGTCCACTTTCTTGTAGAAATAGAATTACTAGTTGCTCAAGCCGTTCTATTTTCTGCTTGTATGGTAAACAAGCTACTACATACCCAGTACAAGTCTGTGTTTTTGCTGGAGCTAACATGTTTTCAATATTGACAAGAACTGACAGCAAAGTCAAACAGACACACACATGTAGACTAACAAGAGCTTAAAACCCTCCCTCGGCGCTCTATGTGGGTTGGTTTCCAGATAACACAGAAGGTGTTCGCCAGAATGTGTTCGCCAGAATGTGTCACCTCTGGGAGTCCATCTCACTCATGGACAGAAACCAAATGAGCTCATTGTTTGTTTTTTTTATCACTCTTTCTAAGCAGTTAAAACCTTCAAAAAATTCATGGCATTACACAAACTGAGCAACACCGTCTTAGACGCAGCTTGATTAACAGACATATTTAGTCAAAAGTAAGTATCTATTGATTTTGCTGAAGACATTCTCTCCAACAACTTATTAGACTGCTGATATTAAAGAGTTGGGCCATGATGATACCTTTCTGCACTGGCGAGAGCAAATAACATCAGAGGACAAAACGAGGAAATGCCAGAAGGAGAAACGGGTTTTAAGCATTTTAGCGCATTCAGGATGGAGGACAAGCTGCGGTGGAGAATACAATTACGACAGTTAGATTTAGGGAATGGCATAAAATGTACCTGCAGGTTTTTGTTTCACACACAAATTAGAAAACACAGTCGGCAACTAAAATATCTTTATTGGAACTCCTTTAACACAAGCGTGAGCGTAGTCTGAGATTCATCTCCTTCCTCTTTCTTTGAGGAACTTTCCATCAATACATTTTTTTTTTTTTACTTCATCTGTATAAAGCGTTCAGTATGTTGCTCTTTGATTTCACTGACTGGTATGTGACCGAACAGTTCTTGTGACACTGATTGAACGGGTTTGTTCACATAGCAACTATTAAAACAAACACCTGATGAAGCATCTGGCCTAAATACTGCCATCGTCATCTGCTGCCATCCAGCTGCTGTCTGACTTTTCTTCCCTCTTCCTCAAGCTTTCCACTCTGTCTGAGCTGTGCTACTGTTTCCCACACGTCAGCAGAGGAAACATCCTTTTTTTAGAAACTTAATACATCATTTTTTACCCTGTGACTAAGACACCACATGTCTGGATTACTAATGAGCTTTAGAACAGAGGTGATGCAGATGAAGGTCTCATGTTGTTTTTGAAGGCTCCTCTTCCTGTAGAAGGTACGCAGGTGGAAACGATATGAAGGGGAAATGAAGCAGTGGTTTCATACAGTTTCCAATTTCCTTGTTTTGATATAGACAAATATGGTGGCTATGATGTGCGTGCATCAGCAGAGGACGAGTGCTGGTCAGTTTGAAATGCATGTAACTGACCGTCCAGAGGGCCTGTGGGCACAGTCTGTCCCACATCCAGAGTCCCACCTCAGGCCTGTCTGGACGGCCGTCTTTGGCTGGATTTCCTGCCCTAGTAGCCTCAAGGACTTCCCTCCATAATCGCAGCTGATGCACCTGCCGTCAAGACACAGAGTTTGGGTCAGGTGGATTTCAAAACACGCAATCCTTATTAGAGCTGAAACGATTATGTCTATTATAGTGGGTGTTTTTATTTTCTGATATTTAAATAGACTTAACGATTAATCGCTCCGTTAAATAAATACAGGTAGATTAGGTGCTATAAAGCAAAAGTTTTTGTCTTCTCAATGTTGGAATGAATCCAGTACGTCCATTCTGCAACAAAATATATTGTCGGAGAGCCCTGGTCGCCAAATGGTCACAGCACATGCCACGTAACGGTAACATGCCGGGTACGTTTCCAGCAGAGGACCTCTGTTGCATATCAACTCTCTCTCTCCTTATTTCCTGTCCGTCTCTTCTCCGTCAACTGTCGAATAAATGAAAAATGTAATAAAGTCAGTTACCTCTTCTCCCTCAAAAACAACTTTTTGACCCGTGTATTAACTTGAAAAACGTCTTTATGTAAGCCTACAGACATTTAATGACGTGCAGAAGATGTTTGATATTTTTATGTCTTAAACCCACCTGTGGCGGTTGGGTTTTTGGTTGACGTTTTACACTCTCGTCTCTTTGTTTCACACGTTCTCAGAGCACCAGCCTCCGTACATCATAGCCGTTCTTCCTCGGTACGTGGAGATCCGGACGTTTGAGCCGAGGCTACTGGTGCAGAATGTGGAGCTGCAGAGACCTCGCTTCATCACCTCAGCCGGGTGAGGCAGAGCTCTGTGAAGATGTGATTTTATAACACATAGTTCTGACCCAACTACAGCACCAAAAGATTGTTTTAGGACATTAGCTGTTTACTTTTCAGTATAAGTTCAACATTTTACTGGCTGCATTATTGCACCGCTCCAGGAATTTGAGAATATTGAGTTTTGTGTTGCCATATGGAAGTGTCTTGTTATAACAACATACCAACACATAACATGATCATAACAACTTATCCGGTTATAATTACTAATAATAAAATACAATTTCTTGTTTATAAGATAATGTGCTGTTATAACAAGAAAAAAACGGAATAATTTGAACTCAAATATGTCATAACATGATAAATATCTTGTTATAAGGATGTTGTAACAGTAAGATTTTCTTTCCGTCATGCTGGCAGCAATACAGCTCAGTACTGCAGTGTGTTTGAGGTAAAAAAAAAATGAAAAAGGCTGCAGTGGCTACTGCAAGACTCGGGGCTTAAAGTTACAGATTCAATAAAGACTGGTGACACTTTTACGTATACCACTCTGGTTCCTGCACATAACATCCTCATGCATGATTTGCTCTCACCAGTTTCTATCTCTCATGATGGTGAGTTCCCTCCTTACATAGAAAAAACACTTTTGTTTTCCGACCTGTCCTCTCTCATCTTGTTTCTCTCCTCTTATCTTTCACAGGCAAAATATTGTGTACGTCGCCAGCAACCACTTTGTGTGGCGCCTGGTTCCCGTGTCGATAGCCACCCAGATCCGGCATCTCCTTCAGGACAAACAGTTTGAGCTGGCTCTTCAGCTGGCGGTGAGCAGCGCAACCACTCACTTCACTATTTAACCTCATTTATTCCTCAGGATTCAATTGGCGCTTTAGCTCAGCGGATGGAACCCGACCATCACTTATCTTGATTAGGAGCCGCATGTTGAAACGGCTTTGTGCTTCATTGTCAGCTTATCTTGCTGTCTAGCTATCCAGGAGTATCTTCAAGAATGATAAAGGCCATTTGTGTGGTTTCCACATTCTGAGGAGTTAACTGGAGACATTTTTCTGTAGCCTGATACATTTTTCTTTTGCTTCTATTTCTTTTATTTCTGTTTTCCGCCAGAAGATGAAGGATGATTCCGACGGTGATAAGAAGCAGCAGATCCATCACATCCAGAATCTCTATGCCTTCAATCTGTTTTGCCAGAAGAGATTTGATGACTCCATGCAGGTGTTTGCCAAACTGGGCACAGGTAGGTGTGATAAACGTCCTCTCATTGTATTCTCATGATCAATGTTTATGTATTGGAGCCTATTTAAGGTGAAACTGGCCTTAATTTTATCAACATTTATTAAGTCTACTTTTTCTTTGTCTTTTCTTCACCTCATTGCACATCTGTTTCTTATTGTGTGTATTGATGGAAATGTTTTTATTACAAATAACATTCTCATGTAATGATGTCACATCTACTAAACAAACTCAAGTATCGCACACGTGGAATATAAATGTGATAGATTCCCCCCCCCCCCCCCCCCCCCGTGTGCTCTGCAGATCCCACCCACGTGATCGGGCTGTACCCAGACCTGCTCCCGGCAGACTACCGCAAACAGCTGCACTACCCCAACCCTCTGCCTACTCTGTCCGTGGCAGAGCTGGAGAAGGCTCATCTCGCCCTCATCGACTATCTCACACAGGTGTGTGTGTGTGTGTGTGTGTGTGTGTGTGTGTGTGTGTGTGTGTGAATCCATGATGGAAGTGATGCATTTTGTCAGACCCCACTTTGAACGAGGCTCTACTTGGAGGATTACCAAAAACACAAGAGTCGATAAGCATGTTACGTGTGAAGATCAAGATAGTTGGAGTAAATCAAAGGAGGCACAATATTAACCTTTTTGTTTGTTTGTCCTCACAGAAACGTAGCCACCTTGTGAAACAGCTGAATGACTCGGACCCTTCTATAACGTCCCCGCTCATGGAGGGCACGCCTACTATCAAAAGCCGAAAAAAGCTCCTGCAGATCATTGACACCACCCTGCTGAAGTGTTACCTGCACGTAAGACCACCTTCCTTTTTGTTTCTCAACAAATGGAGACATTACAGTCCAAACTGCCATTTATTACTTGATATTAATAATTCAATGTCTTGCAGAATATACAGAAAACAGTTCAGTGTGTTGCTCTTTATTGATTTACTATCCTCCAAAAGTTGTTTTTATTTTGTTTCAAACATTTTTTTATTCGACCAAGATTTTAATACTAAAGGAAGTAAAGCAATGAATACGTTTTGACAAAGATAAAATAAACGTTTTTATTTCATGCAGTCATTTTGCCAATAGGTGTCATATTTTCCTCATAAAATGATTGATTTTTTTCATTAGAAACATTTTTTTAAACAAGCTTATTTTTATAATACTCTTTTCTTTAATGCCACTCATGACTCATGTCGTACTTTCTGATCAACAACCACTCTACAGTGAACCTAATCCAGCTGTTTTATATTTCAGGATAAACGACTGTTTCGGCTCTAATGAACTTGGCAGTTTTCATCGTCTGCTTACAGAAAAATTATTTCATATCACAAGGATGTAAATCCAAACATTTGCAGGAATTGGCAGCACCATGAGGCAGTTCACTTTACCTCCCACGTAGCTAAATGGGTTCTGTGTCAGGCGCTGCATTGGCAGATGTACTTTGAAGTCACAGTTTTAAAGCAGCGTCCTCTCCGTGTAGCTGCAGTAACGTCAGTCTGGGGTTTGATTCAGGGAGGTAGATGCCTGGACAGCTATTCAATGTACCAGGCACACTGTGTCAAACCTCATCTATGGTGAGAAAGTATGAGATCACAGATACAAGCAGCCAAAGTAAGTTTCTCCACAGAGAGATCTGGCTTTTGTCTTCAATGCGTCTCTGCTGCTCTTCAACATTTAGACGAGTCGGTCCATGTGGCATCCAGGGGAAATGCCACCAGGTGCTCCTCTGGGGAGGTATAATAAGCACCATTTAATCCGAGGAACTCAAAGGGCAGATCACACTGGAGGGATAACCGAAGAGCGACTGGAGCTCCTCTTACAATGAGTGCTAACACCTGCACCACATTATTTAAATGATATCGATAATGATCTGTGAAGCAGAACGGAACCAATCAGTGAGGGGTCACCGTTCCTGAAGTCTTTGGGTGAAACACAACCCGAGCTTAAAAGGGGTGAACGGATTAAGGTTTTGTAAATGTGTGGTGTTGATGTTTTTATAATCTGCTCTTTAGACCAACGTGGCCATGGTGTCCCCCCTCCTTCGTCTGGAGAACAACCACTGCCACATCGAGGAGAGCGAGTACGTCCTGAAGAAGGCCCACAAGTACAGCGAGCTCATCATCCTCTATGAGAAGAAGGGCCTGCACCAGAAAGGTAAGGAGGCTCTGCTGCTCACTGCTCACCCACCGGGGCGGACGTGAGCTGCGTGTGATTGTGGGGATCTGATCTTCCTGCTGGAATACTGTTTGGGGAAGTTAAACAAGTTGCAACTTCACAACCGTGTTTTTTAAACATTTAGATATCTTCAATGTTTTATTGTCTGGACTCCTTACTCTTAGGGATTCAACTTTTAAATATCAGCTTTTTTTGCTGTAAAATTAAGTTTTTGTCAGCAGTTTAAGATTGCACTATTTTTATTTAATGCTCATCAAAGTATTTGGGGGACATTTTGTGCATTTTCGTGTGATACAAGCAGTAGAAGTAATCTGTCTCACTTCAAGTGATTTTCACTTTTCATCCAGCTCTGTCCCAAAACGGGATGCCTAATACTTTAGTCCTTATTTGTACATCTGTGCTTCTCTGCAAAGACAGTTTGAATTCCATTTGTGTGATTTGGGGCGTAATGATTCATTTAACACGGTGTGGAGTTATACACCTCCTTCAGCTGTTGTGGCTTTCCTGGAAAACCGATATTTTTCTCTGTCGAGTTCAAGTGCAAGTTCAAATAGGCTTTTACGCATGAATGGATAACAAGACATTTTAAGCTGCATAAGCAAGTAGAAGCCACGACTTGTTTTAAAGAAACATGACGGTGAGAAACAGGAACCAGCATTAAGAGGATAAACCTGCAGTAAGTGTTAAGCTCTCGTTAAATAGAGTTTATTTTGGTTTTCTTTCTCTTTCATTTGGATGAGTCGACTGAAATCTGTGATTATTCTAAAGAAATGTTCACTGACCGTCATTTAACACAGAGCCAAACCGACCGACCTGGTGAACTCCAACAAAATACACGCTGCAAACATTCCCTCCAAGTGTTTTACATGTTTAACAAATTCAAAGAACTGGGCTTAATGAACAAGATTAATCTTTGGTTTTCTTACAAATGTTGAATATTGTTTGAGTAAAGAATACTAGATACTGTACATATCCAATACTAGACACACATAATGTATTCTTCTCTGTGTGAATTCTGCTGCTCTGGTTAAAGGGGATTGTGTCTCTATATGTTCTAAATGTTGTATTGACTTTAAAAGTACGTAAAAACCACAGCTGTAGGGAAGTACTATTTTGAGCGAGTATTTAAAAGTTATGCTACTTTATAGTTGTATAAATATTGTACATTTTACTCTACAACATTTACATGACAGCTGCAGTTACTAGTTACTTTTCAGATTAAGATTTTACATCAATATGATGCATTTATAAAATATGATGTATTGATGTAGATTAAACTAGCCGGAATTGACTTTACCTCGACCAGGTGTGACATTGAAATGCTGCTGACATGTTCAGTAAGTGTAAGTAATAATATTATTAATAATAATATGATGTATAATAAAACACTCTCAATTAGTACCTTTTACTTTTACTGTTTGAAGTATATTTTAGTGCTAATTCTTTTGTACTTCTACTGGTGTAAAATGATGAAAGTACTTTTAATAGATATATTTGAATAGATAATGATGCAGCCAGCGTTGCATTTTCTTTCAACTTTCACAGGAAAACTCCTCTTAAATGAAGTCACTTAAATTAATTTTCTGATGTGATTTTTAAAAATGTTTTGAGTGGGAAATTCATTCTCGTGCAGCAGATAAAAGATAATTCAATCAAACGGATGATCCGTTTTATTCGTCATAATGTGCTTTATCGTCTGCAGGCCTCAGCATGATAACTGAACACACAACAATGAAACGCACTGAAATATCCATTCCCAATTTCACTTTTAAATTGGATGTTGAGTTTGGGGTTTAGTATTTAAATGACGGATCACTTGACGCTAGACCTTCCTTGGCCTTTGTCAGCGGCCTCCTCGTTGCCTCCCAATTCAGAAACCAAGAGCCTTTGGACTCTGAATTGTTCCGTTATGTTTTATATTCATTTATCTTGGAGGAGGTTTCCTGCACTCTGTCGGCTCATCGTCCTCGTAGATCACAGCGGTCGGCTTGTCGTCCTCGTAGATCACGGCTGTCTTGATGTTGTTTGGTTTCTGGTGGGATACTGCGGCAGATTCTGGGCCGTTCTCGCTGTGAGCGCGGCTGGTTTCAATCGACCCGCTGCTGCAATTTGTGCTTCTGATGTCATGCTGCTCGAGTCGATGCCCCTCAATTCAAACCAGCTGTTCCCGTCCACCAATTAACACTGTGCACTGTGCTCCATCCAGGAGTTATGTAACGCAGTGCGCACCACAGAGGAGATGACATGTTGCCACTTTCCATCAGTCAGACCGATCTCACGTTTGCTCTCGCTCGCCCTCTCACTCGCCTCCCTTCATCTGTCCTCACCAGCTCTGCAGGTGCTGCTGGACCAGTCCACCAAGGCCAACTCTCCGCTGAAGGGCCACGAGCGAACGGTGCAGTACCTCCAAAGACTGGGTAAGGAGTCTGTTTTAAACTGGCGTCAAAGTTGTCACCGCGACTAGATATGTTCAATTTGTTGGGGTGATTTTGGGAAAGGCTCTGAGAGGAACGTTCACCCTGATTGATGGTGGATGTTGGATGAAATGTAAACGACATGGTCTGCAGTCTCTCATACGTCTGGCACCGACTAAACGAGAGGATCTTGCTCCATGCGTGTTACTGTTTACTCTGTTACTAATCTGTGAACCAGGGATTTTCTGTTTCTTCCCATCAGCCTTTTCAATGTGGTTAAACTCCAGAACAATCCAGTAAATTGCCTGTGAGATAAAACCCAGTGGGGGAAAAAACAAAAATATCAAAAGCTGTGTGGAGGCTTCCAACCTCTGTTGGCTGTGGTTCAGTTTGTTAATGGTGGCGATGCATTATACAGCACCGTTCTTCTGCTTCCCCCCCCCAAAGAACGTCATTATAACTGGAACGATGGTTTTGGAAAACAGTGCAACATTGGGTCATAAAGTTATTCAAGTCAAGACAACAACTCGATCTTTCTTGTTATATTTTGTAATATTACTTATTCTGTTTCTTTTATTTCAGTTTGGCTCTAGCACTGTTTATACGCTACGACAGCACTTTACACTAATAACAAATGTTTGAATTATTTATTAATCTGCTAGTTTTTTTTCTCACGATTATCGTTTGGTCTATAAATGTGTAAATTGGAATCTTTGACTTTAATTTTATTTTATTTGCAGAAAAGTGCACTTCAATTGTTCTAGTTCGGTCTCGAACTTCAAATCCGTGACCATTGATAGATTTAACTTCTATGGACCTTTTTTATCAAATAAATATAGCCCCCAGGTCCCTGACTCCATCTTGAAAAATAAACTTTTAAACCAGAGCACCTAGAATTCTGTATGAAGACACGTTTTTCGTGAAAGGCAACCTCAAGAATTCTGGCATCAGTTTGACAATTAGACATCATTTTGACCCAGAAATCCACGTCTGTACTCCAGTAGAGTCTCCGTCCTCCGGAATGAGAAGCAGCTGCTGGTTCACTCCACACATGTGAACACTGTGGCCCAGAGTCCGGCCAGCTCCCGATGGATTGTGGCCATCTTTGATGTCTGGCTCAAAATGATGTTTAACGTCAACATTGTCATAACAATCAGAATTGAGGCTCTGGACCGGCTATTTATTCAATATGTAATCAACATAGTTGCCAGTTGATTGACTACTTAAATATTTGACTAATTGTTGCAGCTCTACTACGTTGGGCTCTATTCTTTAATATCAGAAAGAGCATGTAGTGCGATCATCTGCTTTGTTTCCATCTTTACTTGTTTTCCTCTGAGTGCCTTCTGAAGAAGTTAAACTCCCTTATCTCCCCCACACACAGGAGAGGAGAATTTGGGAATAATCTTTGAGTTTTCTCCCTGGGTGTTGAAGATCTGTTCTGAGGACGGCCTGAAGGTGGGACGCAAAATGTTACACAACGGTTCACTTATTTGTTTTAGTCCTATATGAATGTTGTAAATTGCTTTACGTTTTTGTATTTCTTTGGTCATAGATCGAAGCTCATTCTATTTTTGTACTTTATGTCCACTCGGCGTAAAGAAAGCTCTCCCGTAGGTTTAAAGATCTCTCTTCCTGTCCAGATCTTCACAGAGGACCTGACCGAGGTGGAGACTTTGCCCAGAGACAAGGTGCTGAACTTCCTGAAGGAGGGCTTTAAGGAGCTCGCCATCCCATATTTGGAGCACATCATTTACGTGTGGGACGATAAGGGCCCGGAGTTTCACAATGTGCTGATCCAGCTCTACCTGGAGAGGGTCCAAGGCCTCATGAAGCAGTACCTCAACTCACTGCCAGAAGGTACGAGCAACAGAATACTTGAGAGTTAATTTAAGTGAAGTTCAGAGTATCTGCAGGCCCTTTTAAAAAGTCATGAAAAGTTTTATACAAACTACTTTATGCCTCTTTTAAAAACTATTGTTTTCATCTTGATACAGATACTTAACATTCATTCCTTTCTACCTGAAGCAAAGCTACAAAGTGAAGTGAATTCTTCTATCTGAGCTGCAGGGCAACATGAGCCTTGGGCTTTAATATCTTCTTAATGCCAAAAGAACAATAATCCAAATTTATCGGAGGACTTTCATGTGATTACATCACTGCATATGGTTTCGGTTTGCCTTTGCCTACTCCTCCAGATAGTTGTCTCTCACTGCTTTACACATTGATCCTGTGTCAGGATTTATTATGAAGTCCATCTGTCTCTCTCCGTGTCTTTTAATGACCATCCAGGGACCGTGTATTGACATAAACCTGTCAGACGGCTACACTTCCAGCGATGCTCATTAATGTGCACTCTGTCTGAGAAATAAAGTAATAAAAACAACTAATTAAATAAATACATCTGTCCTTGGGGCAGGTTATTGCTTCAGGTCTCGCTATGAAGCATATTTCAGAATGCGACCTGTGATATTAAGATATTGTTTCTCTGAGATCATTCAGTTCTACAGCCATTATTTATTGTTCCTTTATCAGCACTCTTTTAAGGTTCACCTCAAATGTGCTCCGTTTAGTTTTCTTCTGGACTTGTGAAAAAGCAAAAGAAAAGTTTTGTTTACATCCAGTGTTTCTTACCAAAACACATGGCGTGTATCTCTGAGGTCTAACAGACATGCAGGGTGCATTTCCTTCTGAATCAAACCATTGCAAAGCCTACGGTTAGATGTGAGAGAACCTGCGTAGTTTACGTCCATGTTTGCTTGCCAGCAGTCTTCTGCTTCTTCTTCTTCACTGCCTTTGTTGGCGTGTTCCCACTGACTGTCAATCCGTAGATTAGTGTTAAAGCCATTGGCAGGATGTGAAGCACGCTGCGTCCTCGTGGGCGTGCACAATACAAACAAAACGGGATAAAGATATTAAGTCTGTAGTGCTGCGAGTGGTTAATAACTCCACAGGGTACGATTAAGACGAGGATGAGCCTTTAATAATGATTCAAGTTAAAAAACGAATTAAACCATACAGTTTCCTTTTTAAAGGATTTCTGTAGCTCTTTGAAGCACTTCTCATATATTTGATGTACTTGATCATTGTTATGATTACCTTTTGTAACCTAGACTATTTGAATTATTAACTTATCTGTCAATCATGTTCACAATTTCTTGACTCTGCTGCTGTAGGAGTTCCAGCTGTGTCTGCGGGGAAAGAGGAAGGTGATCTGGGAGAGTTCAGGAACAAGCTGCTGTCTTTCCTGGATATTTCTACCAGCTATGAACCAGCCAGACTCGTCAGTGACTTCCCCTTTGATGGTAAGAACTGTGGCCGAAAATAAGTATCAGCCATAAGCATTTACACACTGAGGATGGAAGGAAATCTGTTGTTTTTGATACAGAAATCTGTAGAAATTCAAACTGAACCACATATTTTACTGTCAGTTTATATGTCCAGTCAGTTTTAATATAACCATAAATTTGCCTCAAGGGGCTAGATGTAATGTTATGTAACATGCACTTAAGTAAAACAAAGTATTTCATGTCATTTCCATTACCTCATGGACATGTGTTCGCAGTTATAGAGGAAGGTTTTAGCCAACTTCTATACGTTTTAAGCTGAAGGGTGAAACTTGTTTTCCATGCTGAAGGCCTGCTGGAGGAGCGGGCTCTGCTTCTGGGTCGGATGGGTAAACACGAGCAGGCGCTCTTCATCTATGTGCACATCCTGAAAGACACCCGCATGGCTGAAGAGTGAGTACTCCTGCACGACGACGACTGCGTGGATAATTAACACCAGTCACCTGCCAAATGTTTGCTAAGTCCAGCAGCTGATGTGACTAAAGATGAAGAATCAATTTAAATTCATGGTTTATCTTCTTGTGCTCTGCAGATACTGTCACAGCCATTACAACAGTTCGGTCGAAGGGAATAAAGATGTAAGTGGCTTTTTTCATAAAAATAATTTTAAATAATTTCTGCCTTTTCCTCCTGGATTTAGTTGTTGTTTATGACCATTTATTTCATTCTGTGCGCTCGGCTGCCGTCTGTTAAGTGCTTCTGGGTTTGCAGAAAGTGCTACACAAATATAATGGATTATTTACGGCTCAAGCTCCCAATGAAACGTGTTTTGTCAGAAAGGACAGCTGACATTGTGACGCACTTGACTCTGCAACCAAACAAGATCTAAATGAAAATACATGAATCATCATCAGATTTATTAACGGATCACTGCTGTTTCTGTAAAGGTCAGAAATATACAAGATCTCTGTTTGGACACTGAATATTTGATGCCTGTGTGTTAAGTCTACTTTCGACATCAAACCCGTAACGATGGTGAAGCAGAGACATTGAGCACCAACGGCTGTATTTCTTCCCTTCAGGTTTATCTGTCTTTGCTGCGAATGTACCTGTCCCCTCCTGACGTCCACTGCTTGGGGCCCATCAAGATGGAGCTGTCGGAGCCTCAGGCCAACCTCCAGGCGGCTCTGCACGTCCTGGAGCTGCACCACAGCAAACTCGACACCACCAAGGTAAACGACCACAGAGCGGCACGCACATTCCTCTCTCCGGTGACCTGGCACCTGACCCCAGTCTGGTAATCGCAACTCATTCTTTGTTTTATCTCCTTGGAGTGTAACATGTGTTTACTGTGAGTTGACACAGAAAAGGCTGCAAAAGTCTTCTGACATGTGCACAAAATCAGGCTGCACTTGAATTCTACTTTTCTACTCAGCCAATCTCATCTGGTGCTTCAAACGGCTCATTCAATCAGAGAGCAGGAATTACTTTCTAATTCAACCCGGTGCTTTATCATTGTGAGTTGACTCTTTGCCATCGCTCAGATTAAGTGATCATTGCGAGCTCAGACAAGACGTGGAACTGATAAGAGTCGGCTTGTTTAGGCTGCATAACAATGAGATGGAATAACATGATTTACGATAACACACACACACACACACACACAAAATTAGTCATTTGGTGTGAAATTAGAGCAGCCACTGAACTGAACGCTCATTTAAAGATTTGATTTTTAGTTTGTTTTTAGAGCGAGATGAGAGGGGTTTGCACAGTTTCAACTATCAGAACCCAGAATCAAAATAGCAAAGAATTGAATAAAAGCTGTTTTTTGACATGTGCCTACATGTACCAGGATAAACTTCAACTTTTATCTGCTGCGATCGCTCCCTCGTCGACTCGCACCGCATTCATCGGCCGTATACACTGGCTCGAGTCAGCCAAAACACTGTAAAAAGTATCCTCCTCCATAACATCCTCTGTATTTTGGGAAGCCATTTCCGCAGCGTGCAAGGTCCAATTGCAGCCTGAGAAATCCAAGCTGCGGCCTGTATTTCCTTCTTGCATCCAACTATGTCAATGACGGCGCTGGATGTAGGTAGAACAATAGATTTTGCTTCAATTCAAAAGGACATCCACGTAAAAGGTGCCACATTTTCACGGTTAAAGCCCAGTTCCCACTACAGGACTTTGAAAGTCGTCAGATTGCTGTGCTGTTCACACTGCACAACTCGCTGTCCTTTTGGGAATCTTGAAGTAGTTTCCACACTGCATGACACTGCGCTACAAGATCTTAGCCTGGAGGAATCCCTGATGAGCTCTCTGAACTACGTTTTGTCACAAAAACACATGCGTGAATGGACTTGGGCGTAGTGTAGCTAGATAGCGAGACTCTGGTCTTTATAAAGCTGTTTTGGTTTGTTTTTCAATTCAATCCAGCTGCTGCGCATCTTTCCACACAGTCCACATTAAGTCACTCAGCTGATCGTAGATTCTCTCTCTCTCTCCATATCTCCTCAAAGCGACGGAGTCTTTGAAACGCCACCACTCTGTCACTGTAAATATTTGAATCCATAAAACAAACAAGTTTATCTGTTCTCAGTTATATCCTCGCTGTAGGCTGCTGTGATTTAAAGTGGAAGCGATTGTGTGTGAAAGGCACTGCTCGTCTGTGCTCAGCCACAGCCGTGTCAAATTAGGAGCGTCTCAAGGGGAACACTGCAGGTTTATGTGAGTGTTTAAGTTTGGATCCCACAACCGGGAAGCTCTCCATCTTGTCTTTTTGTGCCGCTGTGCCTCCCTGCGCTCCCTCATTGACTCGATGGCAACCTGCTTTCATTTCCCCTGGCCTCGCTCCCAGACTCTGCCTCGCCAAGAAAACAAGACGAGACTGCACCAATATTTCTGGAAAAACTTCTAACATGAAGCACATTCTTTTTGTTGTATATAATCATTTTTTGGGAATAATCAACTTGTCATTTAGTCTATAAATGTCTATAGTGGGGTGACGTATTGTTGGTTTGTCTGACTGACAAAGAGATCAATACTTGTATGTTATTAAACAAGGAAAAGCTGCTTTATGGGAACTCGTAAGTAAGAGCTACTCGCATGAGCAACAGGGTCAGGCTCTTTCAGCACAAAGGATTGATATGAATTAAAGTTCTGCAGCTCTTCAGTAACGAACATCCTGAACATTGAGGTTTCAGCAGCCGGATCCTCATTCTGATAAACAGTGTGACTAAAGGTCGACTGATTTTGAGACTGAGGCAGAGTTGGCTAACTGTCAGAGAGCTCATGTCGTATTAAATAATCAAACTAATGCATGTTATTTGGTGTATAGTAGTGCAGTTACATGTTGTATCGTTTATTTAAACGAACATGCAGCACAAATACAGAATATAAGTTGAGCTGAATGCCAGCTCTCAGTTGTCTCTCTGCAGGAAACTCTCACTCTGAGCTGTCTGAGTGTAACGAGGCCGTTTGTGCTAATTTAATTTAATTACGTTGAACAAGAGGACAGCGAGAGTGCTGGCCTCGATCGTGTTTAGCCTCATTCACACAGCGGCTAACAGGCGAGTCCTTTTTATTTCTAAAGGTAAGAGAAGTCATGTAGCAGCAAATTACTTTTCCCGAGAGGATGTCATCTCATTTTGTATTATCGTTTGGAAATGATTAATGAGTTATGTTCTGCATCTCATGAATGTGGAAGCGACACTTCCCTCTGGAATACAGTTCAGCAACTGTTCTTCACCACGACATGAAGATCACCGCCTCTGCTCATTTCTATACATTATACTTTTAAAATGAGTGTTAATTTGCTCAAAGTTCTTCCTCATAATGTTGTAATAATTCATGTTTTTGTCTTCCCAGGCCATCAACCTGCTCCCAGCAAACACTCAGATCCGAGAGATCCGGGTCTTCCTGGAGAGCGTCTTGGAGGAGAGGGCTCAGAGGAAGCGCTGCAACCAGGTGCTGAAGAGTCTGCTGCAGGCCGAGTTCCTCAGAGTGAGTCCTGGAGGGTTTCTTTACATGACGGATAACACTAAGCTACTCTTTCTGTACTCCAACACAACAAACTCTGACAACACACGACACTTTGCTCTCCAAATGTCACTCGCCTTTTCCACCACAACAAGTCCTATGACAATAACAACTTTTCCCTTTCCATGAGGATGTCAGACATTTAAAGCAATCTGAGCCTGTCGGTGGTAAAAACGAGCACTTTTAGTGGATGTATATTGACGTGAGGAGTCGTCACGAGTGAATACATTTCAGCCTGTTCAGTGGCTGCTGCGTTCTCCCTCAATACTGGATTTTTTATAATTGCATTTTCTCTATGTTGAAAAATACCGACGTCACCCTTTTAAGAAAAGGTGGTGAGAATTGATTAGTGCGAGCTGACAAGGAATCAAGGCCTCTGTCTTCCTTTCTTGTTGAGATAATGCGACACTTTATCGATTCCCTCAGAGAAATGGTGTTTTAATAGTCTTCCTTTGGTGAAGTCAGAGAGCAGCGTCAGACATAAAACTGCTTCCCTTCATCTGAGAGAGAGTGAGTTCATCCCCAGCTCTGTGCAGGAGCTGTGGGACACCTTGAGCTCAGGTTGAAGGACGAATTGCCAGAACTACGTCACCATTCACGTGTTCACCATCAGAGAGGAATTTGAAGATTTGAATTGTGTGGATAAATTTGACTAAAGACACTCAACTCATGTCTTATATAATATATTTTCTAAAATGTGCTCCAGGTGATTTAGCATAAGAACAATATACAAAAGTTGGTTTTACAGTGAAAACTCCTTTCCCAGAGGATGGACAGGGACGGCCTCCTTTGTTTACATCAGCTCGTCAGCAGAGAATCCGACATGTTTGAGTTGTTTAGTTCAGTGGTTCCCAGCCTGTAACGCACAGCAGTGTCTGCTGCCTCTGGCCACAGGGCTGCACGTCTGTTAGTTAAGAGCAGGTCAATTAAAGATTGATTTTTCCTGCCTGATTGAATGAAGTCCAACGGAAATTAAACTGTTTTTATCTGCTCTGTAATTACATGTTCTCTGTTCTGTGAGAAACAAATCAATTCTGTGTCTACGTGGAGGGAGAACTTGTTTTCACAAGTAATTTGCAGAAACGACACAGTCCGACTGTTGCATAGCTTTGAAAAACCATCACATTAGCTTTCCTGCTAAAGTCTCCTTCTTATCAAACTTCTTCTGATGTCATCTTGTGCTTCAGCAGAAAGCTGCACGGCTAACGTCCGGTCTGCAGGTTACAGCGATATTAAGCTGCTCGGCTAACCAGCACGTACACGTAGCTCGCATGTCACTTCGATCTGTTGAGATGCTGGTGTGGCGGTTGCTCTTTAACACCACTTACAACACGCTAGTATCGGCCCATCGCGTGTAACCTGACGCCCACGTTTGCTCACGAGTATATCTGGTACATCCAACAATACGTTTGAATAACACATTTTATGGCATGACACTCTTTTTTTTTTTTTAAGAGGCCTAAAGAGGTATTCACCTCGTTATCTAGCACACGGGTAACTCTGCCACAGACACCAGATGTTAAAGATGCCTCTGCTCACCTGTTCTCTGCTCTCAGGTGCAGGAGGAGCGGATCTTCCACCAGCAGGTTAAATGTGTCGTCACGGAGGAGAAGACCTGCAGAGTCTGCAAGAAGAAAATGGGAACCAGGTAACGATCTCAGTGATGTCATTCATGGTCCCCAAAAGACAGGCTTGTTTCTGGCTGAGCATTAGTATGAACATATGTACTTTTAATATTGTTGTATTTATGTGTTAAAATGGTATCTTTTATGTTTTGCTCTTATTCTATTTATTATTATTATTACATGTGTCATACATCTGTGGATCTTGAGAGTTATTGAGGGTTATCATCAGAAGCCTCATTCATTTGGGTGTTATGACGCTGTCAGTTTATAGCAACAGCATCTTTTATCTCTTTTTATCACATTATTTTGTGTCTGCAGTTTCAGTTGTTTATTTGCCCTGAGCTGCACTTCATTTCACACCCCGCTCAGTTTTGTTTCCCTGTTCTACATGTTGATGAATTGCTTGTTTATCTGCTTTGCTGCAGCTTTGAGTCCTAATCCCGTCCTCTGTGTGTTTATCTTTTCCCTCTCAGTGCGTTTGCCAGGTATCCCAACGGCGTGGTGGTGCATTACTTCTGCTGCAAAGACCGAAACGTGTGCCCCACCGAGCAGTGAAGAAGCGCTCCACTTGACTGTTCACTCATCAATAACCCCCCCCCCCCCCCCACCCCACCCCACCCCCCTCCTGCTCTCTGTGGATTTCAATGCTCGGACATCGTTGAACTAGGAGTGCATCAGAAGGTTGGAGGTGCAGGCTGTGCGGCACCTTCCACAACTACAAGCGCAGACATTTGTTAACCCGAGTTAACCTCGGAGTCGAGGCCGAGACTTTCTTTCTATCTGTGCATGAAGTAACGAGAGGAATGTCCGGCGTCGCTCCGCAGGAGGGGAGAAATAAAGAGGGGAGAGTCTTGACATTTGAAAAGCATGTCACTGTAACGCTAGAAAGGACTCGTGTCCCGTCACGCCGCCTCGGCAGAAGAAGAGGCGCTGCTGACAGACGCTCGTCCTCACCATGAGATGATAACAAGCCTTGGTTGTGTTTTTTTTTTTATTTCCTCCTCCTGCCTCTCTCTGTCTCCCACCTCTCCTGTAACACTGTGCGAGGCCTCAACCACTGCTTGATATGCCATAGACGCTCTGCAGGAGTGCAGTTAAATGCCTTTTGTGACTCTGAAGATTGTACTTACAGCGGAGTCAGATGTCTGTCAGGATCTTTTGTTAGCATGTGCTGGTACTGACTAAGCCAAACAGCATTCATCTCACCGTGTGTTTGACAATTCTGTATTTTTATTTAAACATTTGAGGCGACTAACATTATTCATAGAGATGTTCTCTTCATTATTTAGTGTATTTACAGTGTGTGAATGATTCCCACACAATGACATTGTTCTCTTTGGGTTTTTTTTTTTTTACTCATCTGTTGTCTTTGAATTCATTTTTTTCTTCTTTCCGAGACATTAAAAGTTTACGAAGTGGAACTCCTTTAAAGTGAGACTTGTAACTTTTGAGCCAAGGTGGTAATTACAGAATAATCGCACATAATTTCCCTTAATTAGGTCTGAAGTGATTCATCAATTATTCAATCTACAACTGTTTTGATAATTGATTATTGTTTTCAGCCATTTTTCAAGCAGAAATACACACATTCTCTGGTTCCAGCTGTTTTTCTTTGTCACAGCAAATATGTCTTAAACTTTAGACTGTTAATCGGATTAAATGAGCAAACTGAAGACATAACTGAGACTTTTTATTAAACATTTTATAGACTAACTCATAAATTAAGAACATAAAACGTCAGATGATGTGTTACAGAAGTACAAGTGGAGATGATTCTGCTAATATTAGCCACCTTTAGCTACTGGTCACACCAGACCAAGTAGCAGCTAAACAGCTGTGTCTGTTGTGTGTTTTTATTGCTTAAACATTCAACCTTTTTATTTGTACAAAATTGTTATTTCTTCTTTCAAAAGTTACATCGTCTCACTTAAAGACGGATCACAAACGAACGTACAGCACTTTAAAAGTGGACGGATGATCTTGTTCTATTTATTGTCAAATCACACGTCCGCGTGACAACAACTGGAAGTTGAAAGTATGATCGATCTGTACGTTTTAAAGGCAATATTGTTAGAAGATGTTTCTGTTTACCGTCCGGATGGGAGGTCATTCAAGAAGCAGGATGTCCCAGTTTACTGTCGATGAAATACTAGCGGTGAATGTTTTGAGATCTGAGTCCACGGTGTCGATGCTCGGTGACACTCTGGACAGACGACTTGCACGACTCAAGCTTTTGTTTTTTTAAGTCTTGCAACGTTTTGAAGTTCCCCCACAAGTTGTAGCATTATCTTCATCGCCTGCTTCTTGAAATACCCCTCATCCTCCTCACCCTCCTCTTCTGCTCCTGAAAGGTTTGCACACATTCTCTGCTAAGACTGTTTCTGAATTTAAAGTGGGGACGTTTGTCCGTTTGTGTGTGTGCGTGTGCGTGTGTGTGTGCTGTATAAACCGTGTTCATGACTTTTCATTGAAGTTATTTGATTCTGAGGGGCGACCCAGCAGGTACCACGTGTCCGTCTGTTTGTCCGTTTGGCTTTAATCGATAATAAAGAAGCGTTTCCATAATGTTCATGTGATACCACACTGTCTGGATGTTCACACTGCTGCTGCTGTTTACTCTACTGCATCTTATTGTTGCTCACATTTAGATTTCGTCGATGCAAAGGTGATTCTTCTTTGTTAGATATAAAAGGCCAAAACTAATGTCGGTGTGAGAATGGTCCAAAAAGTCCAGGAAGAAAATATGTAAATAAATAAATAGAAGTCAAAGTTGTGAGATAAATAATCAAAAATACAAAAAGTCAAAATTAATGACTACTACAAATAGATTATAAGTGTTAAAGATTTAGATTTAAAGTCAAAATTAATTATGAATTAAGTAAAATTATTTAATTGTTCAAATTTATGAAATATTAAGTATTTATTAACAAATGGTCACTCTGGTAAATCAAACTTTTTACGTCATAAATTTGACTAAGAATATCTTATTTTAATAACTAAATATCTCATAACTAAGTATTTTAACTTCGTACATATCTATACTGAGTCATAGATATGAAAATTAAATTAATAAGTCGTAAATATAAAAAAGAATTATAAAATCGTCACAGTATCCAAAAAATGTGTGTGACATTTTAGAATTGACGCACTTCCTCCTCCTGTCCCCATAAGTGAAGACGAGTGGCTCAACTCCACTCATCTATTCATGGACCGTCAGCTTCCACGTCTCTCATCTGGAAGTCCTTTTTTTCCCAGATAGGCCCATTATCCTCTGGGCCGAGGCTCTGGAGAATACTGTCCCTGCTAATGGACTTCCTCCACTGAGCCGAGCCAGCTAGAGTAACAGAATCACAACAGCCCGACTGCTCAGCAACGCCGTTAGTCACACACCCGAGAGCCAAGACTGCCAATTGCCCTCTGCATCGGGGCCTCGGCTGGATCCCGATGACTCCGTCGTCTGGGCAGGATCCTGAGCCCGAGAACCCAAAACCAGCAGAATATTATCTGCTAATAAACGCCTCGCTGGAGCACATGGAGACCTCCGACGTGATCGTACAAACGTCCCCTGTGACTTTGAAAAAGCTGTGTCCTTGATGAGGCTGAGAGAAACTCTGAATAATTCATCATGCTCCAATTTATTGTAGCTCTCTTTATGAGTGTGTGTGTGTGTTTGTGCGTGTTTATACTGGGATGCTGTAATGTCTTGGAGTGGAGCACCAGTGTGCATATGGAAAAGATGTTCCTGTTGGACCCTGTGAGGCCAGCAGGCAGGAGTTTGCCCGGTTTAACTCTGCCCACCTCAGGCTTTATGTCCTACAAAGCTGGCAGGGAGAACATTACCTCCTGTGTTTTTATGGATTTAATTGTTTGTGTAAATACTGAGCAAATTATGACCACGATGATGAAGATGATCTGAGAGTGATCGTAAGATGCTGAAACCTTCGTTTGTTCAATACTGGCTAAGGCTCCGTGAGTGAGGCTCAACCACGAGGTTCACATTTGTGGCTTTCACTTGAAACATCTCAACATTTACTCGATGGTTTGTCCCAAAGTTTGGTTCAGACATGCATGGTCCCCATGGTTCTAGGTAGAACCCCCTGGGTGGGTTCTTGATGACACTATCAGAAGGTGGAAAGGTTCTGGGTGGAACCATTACACCATCGAAAAGGTTCTCTGTAGAACTGCTCATAGGGCGTTAGGGTGGAACCTTTTTACAGGTGGTTCTAGGTATATAACCCTTTATGTTTGGTCCTGAGTAGAATCTTTTATATAAGGTTCTACCGGGAACCTAAAAGGGTTCTCCAGGACAAGCAAGAAGAATACAAATGTTCCACCAAACACAAAATGGACTTCACCATCAGCCTCAGCTGTGATTTTCACAGTTTGAGGATTGTAGAAAAGCTTTCTTTTCTGGACTTATTCTTTGTCGTCTGTGGCTTATTATACAATCACAGACTTACTGTGAAACACACACACACTGACTGCTGGCTGCTAAGCTGCAGAAGTATACAGTAAAAAGTGTATTATTACCCGTTTCATAGAAAGTATCATCGTAAAACTATATTTCCCTGGGAAACTATTTCTCTGTTTGTCATCTGATCTGTTCTTTACGTTGTCAGAGATGTGAGTTTAGTAGGTGTGTGTGTGTGTGTGTGTGTACACACACTAGGGCTGCCTCTTTTCTTTCGTCCTAATCCACCATGTGCCTTGTGACAACACGGCCTTCGGGGGCTCTCAGTCGGCCCCGTCGGCTCACCTATTTCCACCCATCTTGACATTCAGTTTAGGGTGCGCTTACCTTCAAAAGCAAACAGGGTTTCATGTTATCTGCAAATATTTCTTCATGGTTTGTAGCCATTGCGGTTCAGGTGAGTGCCGGGTGTAGTTTGATATCTAGTCAGTGTACTTTCCTGTTCAACATTCTGTATCCTGTAGCTCCAGCGATCTGGTGGTATGACTTGTAGAAAAACAAACCGCAAGTGACGCTTTGTTCCATTCAGACGTCACTTGGAAAAAAGCTGTATCTCCTGACTGATGAAGAAACCAGTTGTTCTTATTTAAGAATATGATGCAGCGACTTAATTAAAGAGAGAACCCAGTATTAGAAAGACAGCTGGGATTGATGTGGTTTGAGTTTTCTGGGTCCCTTTTTCTTTTTTTGTGCTGGTAGTCAAAAAACAAGGTAAGGTTAATGCAGACGTAAGGTCGCATTGAGTTATTTCCAGCAGATGGACATACGTTTGGTATCAAAGATCTACAACATGGAGTCTATGTGTCACATTTTGGTGTCAAGTTCCTCAAAAAAACAAAAAACTTCCTCTTAACCAGGAATCACACAGGTCCATCAAAGAAGAGACACAGATGTCATTGTTTAACCTCCAGGGTCCTCAAACTACCAACTTCCATCTATTGTTCTTTTCTGTCCACCAAGCTTCTTAGTTTAGCATGTTAGCCTGCTACAATCTGCTAATTAGCACGAAACCCAAAGTACAGCTGAGGCTGACGGCAATATCACTAATTTTGTCATGAACAAAAATATTGGACAATATTGTGACCTTCTAAAATTCACGTATTAACAGGGCACATAAACCCACTTACACTTTGGTTTATGTGCA